AAATCCAGATGTCATTCCTTGGACCACATTTGCAGTCGGCGCAGATTGTTTTGAAGGGTTCTCTGGTCGTAAGGACTCTTAATGACTTGCCAGAACTTAACATCATCGGCAAACAGTATTTTACCGCAGTCGAGTTCCTGAAGGCTGACATTACCAGAAAGGATGAAGAACAAGGGATCCAGAACGGAACCTCGAGGCACGCCACTTGTCACGCTCACCCAGTCTCCGATACAGACACGTTGTTTCCGACCAACCAGAAACGCCCTAATCCAGTTCAGAAGATCTCCCCGGATGCCGATGGCGCTCAATTTGTGAAGAAGGCGTTGATGCAAGACAGTGTCGAATGCTTTGCGAAAATCGATGTGCACGGCGTCGACCTCAAAACCCTTTTCTAAAGCTCTGGTCCAGATCTCCAGGCAAGTTAGCAGATTTGAGATGAAGGAGCGACTCTTCCGGAAGCCATATTGAAAATCCTGCAAGATTTTATTTTCTTCGCAAAACTGTTGTATAGCGCCCTTTACTAGAGCTTCCATCGTTTTGCATGAGAGGCAAGTTAAGCTAATAGGCCTGAGGCTGCTTGCTTCCACCCTGCTACCTCCCTTATGTAAGGGAACGAGGTAAGCTGTCTCCACTGTCAGGACAACCTCTCTGTTTTCACTGACAGCTCAAAGAGAGTCGAAAGAGGCTTTGGCGACTCCGTTGATAGCTACTTAAGTATCAGTCCACGAATTTCGTCGGATCTAGGATACTTATCTGGTTTTATTTCACTGAGGACACGTATTACTTCTTCAGTGAAAAAGGCAACAATTCCAATGACGGCAGCATCTTGGCTCATTTGAAGCTCCCGCCGTCTTGGCCCATTTCAAACTGCTGATTGTCTTCAGAGGACTCCTCCGTAAAAACTGATTGGAAAGACTGAGACAGTAATTGCACTTTCTGTGGCGCTTCAACCAGGATAATACCACCTCTTTGTTGCCTGCAACACAGAGCGGACTAATTAAGGCAATTCAGTCTTTGTTTGTAGGATTGGTTTTTTAAACCGTTCATCAGCTTTGTTGCATGACATTGTACCCTCTCGAGGCATGTTTGGTCCTTAACTAGCCATGGCCACTACGCTTGTATGCATATTATAAATGGGGCCGAACAAAGGTGCCGTAAACTTCCAAAAAGGTCTTTGCCAAAGATTACGCACGCCCTATTGATTGCATAGGGCACTCCGATGGCATTTTCTGCAGCCTTGTGGTTACTGCATGCAATAAAAAGGGCGCTCGTAACCCTTGACAAAGACCTTTTTGGAACAGTTTACGGCCCGTTTGTTCGGCCTCATTTAGAATATGGCATACAAGCGTAGCGATTATGGTTAAGGTTCTTCTGGAATTCAGAGGTTGGTCTTATACGCCTTACTTGCTCAGCTGGAAACTCTAACTTAAATTTTTGTAACCTTAGGATTTTAATCAGTTGACACTTCCTGATTTTATCCCCTGCAGCGATGAACTCTGTGCCTTCTGACGTCCCCTCTTTGTTTCGATCCTAGAAGGTCTTTGGATGATGGCGACCCTTTCTCTCTTTCGTCACCTTGCTGGGGCTCCTTTGGTCAGCAATGAGGTATCATGATCGTATCTAACCACTCTTCGATAATACCTGCGGTCTTTTAGTGTCCCCACTTCGCTGTTGCCTTACGCGGACCATAGACGATTGCTGTGGGTTTCACCCGTCTCACCACCTTGACTGTTGTTTCTGCAGTCATCGGAGAAATAATATGATCGCATCTGCGGCGAAGAGTCGCACCCGGTTTATAAAGTCTCCCTTAGTGATAAACGTTTCGAACTCCTATATACTCTGATCTGAGGGGCGTCCTATCCCATGCGCATATTTTCCCCTCCATGAGTTACAGTTTTTTACCTTAAAAACTAGCCAATAACATTCATTTCGTGTCTTTTTTAACCAATTTTTGAATGGGATTATTTTTATTCCTCGCCCGTTTTTTCTACACCTAACTCCCTATTATTAAAACAGGTTGAGCGATGTACAGGTTCTCTTGGCCGACCCGAGCTTCAGTCGTGAACGCCATTTTCAAATGGGTTTTTATCTGCAATGAGAGTACCCTCGTGGGTGACAGACAAAACCATTTGCCTACTTATCCTTAGTTTAGCAGTTTCTATATGACGCCTGGGATTGCATCGGAGATGTGACTGTGGAAGGAATGTGATGAAGAGTGAGGAGCGCACTGTTTCAAATGGAACAGGAATGCCATTCCTAGATGCGAATGGAGGCATGCTTTATTGACAGCTTCACTTTAAGACCTGAGAATGGCTGGAGTGCGCTGTGTATAGTGTGGTGATGTTAAAGAGCCGTGACGGATGAACGTGAAGGAAAAAATTTTCTTGTAGGGACCAAACCTCTTCAATGTTTGAATTGCAGAAACTGCCTCGGGCCTGCCCTTGAACTAAGCACTTGCTTCGGTTTACTTGGGGCAAATGGTTAGGCGGATAAGTGTGCGAGTGCAAAAGGACTTAATTTTGGGTCGGGATTCCCCAAGCCCCATCTCAATTAAGTCCACTGCAGAGTTGACTAAATTATGAGATGGTTAATCTAAAGAAGACGTCAAATACCACTCGTTAAACATGAAAATATGGGCTAATGGGTTTGTAGATTGTCGACGTCTTCAAGCTTTTCAACTTTCTCCGCATTTGTATGAGGTCGTGATGGACTAAATAATGCCGCCTATGGCAGAATTCCCTTGTCATATTCTTTTCGACAAGACTAAATCAGCTTCCGTTAAGGGCGAGAGCGTAACTAACGTTGGAACGTTGCGGCTGAAAAGGCGCAGTCGCTTGGCTTGCACATATCTGGATCCGAAACTACAACTCTGCAGAATCTAGCGGGAGACTACGAGCGCTGATAGATGTTTGGGAATACTACGCAGGGCAGAGTTGTGTTAACGCTCTATTCGTTCCACAGTTTCGGTGCTAATTACTCAATAGAGTACACACTTTGAGGGTAAAACTCTCTGACGTACTATCCATGTCCACATACAACAGCTGATTCAAGACTTCGACTGAAAGCTTTCTGTTACCGGTGGTGGAGGCGTATTCACGGAAAACCAAAGGCTCCAGAGGTTCCATGAGTAACGAATGAATTCGGGGATTAATCAGATCTTGAGAAGAGTTATGTTTGCGTGCGATGAAAAATATGAATAGTCAGCCACCATAATAATAATAATCGTATTAAATGCCAGTGTAAAGGCAATGCCTAGGAAAGATTAAGCAAAATTCCGGCCGGTAGTGGGAGAAACTCCTGACAAATAAATAAAGAGGACGGTGTTTTATATAGTTTGGAGCGTTCATGAGAAAAAACTGCTGACCATGAAATGGTGAAATTTAGGAAAGGGAGGGGTTGTGCTGCATCGGATATTATCAGTCGCCATTTCTTTTCGGGAAGTTGGGACTAGACCAAGCAAAAGCACTGAAGAACAGCTGTCGTTGTTGTCTGAACAAACTGTACCTGGTGAGACCGGCCATGGGGATCAGAAACCACATCAGTCGGTGGATTTAGCACCCAAAACTTGTGGGTGTTATCATGAATGCAAGTAACGAGCAAAAGTTCTCTTAAACAAAGGATAATTTGTCGCTTTCTAATTTCCGCAGAAATTATCTACGAAGTTTGAGCAGATCAGTTCAA